TTTGTGGTGTATTTTGTGCACTTTTGAGTCTTTTGTGTTAAAGGAGAGCTTTTGATCTACTCCAGAAGCAATGGATGCTAGATCTTAGCTCCATTCAGTCCCCATGTTCGGTATTGGTCTTGGCCATTTTCGGTATTGGGCCATAGTGTGGATTTGAAAGTTTGGGCCTAGTTGGGCCACTAGACCTCTATTTTGGGCAGAAGGATAGCATGTTGGGCTTCCTTGGATTTTAGGCCCATAATGGGTATTAGGCCCGGTTTGGAAGGTTGGGCCATAAATTGGTTTTTAGGATTTGGGCCTTTTGAATAGCTGAGTTGGGCCTTGGCTTTAGGCCAAGTTAGATAAAGGGTAAAATGGTATTTTACCCTGGTTACGGACCAAATAACTTAGACTTTTGGTTATGGGTCATAATCCAATTAATAATTGGATGTTATTGATTTTGATACCGCAAGAATTTTCCAGGCCAACAGTTAGAGATTCAGTTGAGTGATTCAGCAGTTAGAGTTGAGTTTCCTCACTGTGTTTAGCGGGTCAAAGGCACGAATGCCGACCCATGGTTTATTATATTAGGGTGCTAGATGTCTGCGTGACTCTTGCATGTGTTATGTGTAACATCCCAATTTCCAAGCCCAAATTTTTTATTTAAATTAAGTAATTCTCAACATAGTTTACCAAAACATTTCCCAAGCCATATCATTTGTAAACAAAACTATAACAATGTGTCTGAAATCATAATGTCAAAGTAAAATCAATCAGAGTACAATCCCAGAAAACTCCATGCGGAAATCATGTGTATGTGTGTGATGCGCTGCTACACTGCCGGCTCCTTCCCCTTAGACGAAGAGGTACCTGAAACCAAAACTAAAACTGTAAGCACAAAGCTTAGTGAGTTCCCCCATCATACCACATACCATACATACATATCGCATTCATACTGTCGGGCAATTCTGGGGTGCCCGACCTACCCAGTACGACCATTCTGGGGTGCCGACCTACCCGTGTCAAGCCATTCTGGGGTGCTGACCTACCCATGTCAAGCCATTCTGAGGTGCTGAACTACCCTTCGGTCCTATCAACCGAACCTCGGGGACTATTCCACCCCCTACTGCTACTATCACATATATCATAACGTAAACATACTGTCAGACGTTTATGGGGTGTCCGACCTACCCTTCGGTCCTGACAACCGAACTTGAGGACTATTCCCTCCCTACTACCACTATCACATATAACATATCATGCCATCATATAATCATATAATCATATCATCACATACTGTCAGACATATCTGGGGTGTCTGACCTACCCTCCGGTCCTAATAATCGGACTCTACTACTGTCACATATACATATCATGCTAGCATATAACATATCAGGTAGTAGCAAACCTAGATGAATATCACAAAGACAATCATCCAACATACAACTCCTACTGGTGGGCCGACATTGTGGCCGTAGACCCACCGCTACTGGAAGGTAACTCACCTCGAACGAGTAGCTGCTGATAATCTGTGCTGGAAATCTCTGTCTGCTGCTGCTCTGGAAATCCTCCGGCTATAATCCCCACAAAACACTTAATCAGAGTCTGAAATCTATTCTTGGGGTAAAATGACCATTTTACCCCTGGTCAAGTCCAAGTCAAAGTCACAGTCAACTTCCAATTGACCCGACTCGCCGAGTTGGGCCGCCAACTCGTCGAGTCCCTATCTCTTCCACTGTCCTCATCCACGACTCTACTCGTCGAGTTTAGCAACGACTCGACGAGTTCTCCTTCTAACACCCCCTCGGATGAACCTTCATCCGACTCGCTGAGCGGTATGAACACTCGTCGAGTTCACCTTCATCTGATGAACAAGTTCTGACCTTGACTCGCCGAGTTGTATGAACAACTCGTCGAGTTCATCTTCAACCATAAGGAGATTGCCTTGGACTCGCCGAGTCTGTTCTAGCACTCGTCGAGTCCCATGAACTCCAGGTCTAAGGCTAAGTCCAATACATTGGGTCACTCCTTCGGACCTTCTACAACCTTTCTAACACCCAACTGAGTTCTTTTGACCCTCAACAGACATGGGACTTTATGCCTTGGACTCGTCGAGTCCCAAGAACGGACTCGTCGAGTCGATAACGTCCACACCCTAAATCCTCGATTTCTGATGTACAACCTTTGACCAAAAGATAGATCCAAGCCCCTAAGCTCGATCTAGCACGTAAAGTTTCGAACTTTACGTGCATGCATGGGACTTTTGAGCCTAAAAGGCTCTAAAATGGTTCTTATGTTGCATGGGGCCTTCCTTGAGTGCAAAAGCAATCCAAATCTGCCTTGTGACCCCTCCTAAGACTTAGATCCGAAGTCTTGACTCCCAACCATGTTTGCAATCATGGTTGGCTACCTCATATGGCTTAAAAAGCCCTAAATCTTCACCAAAAAGGGATCTAACAAAACAAGCAGGCAAGGTACAAACTTTATACCTTTCAAAGACTGCAAATGATGAACAAAACTCGAATCCTTTAGTCTCCTCTTGATCCTTCTATGCTCTTCCTCCTTCCTTGAGGTCAAAACCCACAAAAATCACTCAAAAGCCTTAGATCTTGCACCAAAACACTTAGGGTTTGCTATGGAGGGTTTCTGGGAGCATAAAGGGGCGATGGAGGCTGTATAAGGTTGTTTAAATAGGGTGCAAACCCTCAGATTAGGGTTTTGTCCAGTCCGAGCCTACTCGTCGAGTCCGGGACCCGAATCGACGAGTCCATCACTTAAATCCCGCGTCTCATCCCGCTTCTACTCGGCGAGTTGGGCCTTCAACTCGCTGAGTCCCAGGCCAAAAATGCAAAATTACTTAAATGAAATACATACCAGGAACCAGGTGCTACATTATGTGCTTGTATGTTTACCGAGCAAGGCCCGATGTCGGGCGGGGCCCGATGACTATCTTGTATGCTATTATCGCATGTGTAGTGTGATTATATGTTTATATGTTAATATGTATATCGGGCGGGGCCTGATGACTGACAGATCTGTATACCGAGCGGGGCTCGATGTCGGGCGAGGCCCATTATGTGTTTATTATGTATGGTATGTGGTATTTTGGGGAACTCACTAAGCTTTGTGATTACGGTTTTCAGTCTATGTTTCAGGTACTTCTGGTTCGAAAGGGAAGAGTTCGGGATGATTGCAGTGCACACACCACCTCGTTCCACATTTTTGTGATTACTCTAATGTTTCATGATGTATTTGAAATACTTTGTTCTATCTTGGTTTTATGATGATGTTTGGATTACAGTTTTATTAATTTAAAAATGGAATTTTTGGTCTTAATTTTTTGGGACATTACAGGAGTTTTGGGGCCATTTTCAAGAACTTCGAACTTACACTTGGAGAGGCGATTTTGGGAAGAACATATCGTCATTTAGCGCTTTGGAAACATTATTTCTTTGATTTTCTAAGTTTATTTAAAGATTAAACTTGTTGAATTTGTACTTCAATTCAACCATGTGTGGCTAACTTTTCCTTCCATATCCGGATCTAGATTCCTAATTATTTTTGTTAGATTGTGATGTGAACTAGATTTCATGTTTATTATCTAGTAATCTTTGATTTGATCTTCATTATGTATTTGATTTGTATTCTTTTTACTTGATCAATGAAATTAGGGTTTGAAATCAAAAATGTTCTTTCAATTATGAATTTTAGTCTTTCAATTCATCTATTTTATGAAGTTTTATTTAGTGTCAACAAGATCCCCACTTTAACAATTGGTTGTATGTTATGTGAAAACATGGTCAAACATTAAGTCTTATATCTCTGTAAATCGACTCTGCTTGTTCTGTATTATCTTTAGTATATATAATACCAATGACTTGTGTTTAAATTGTTATTATGTTTATCCCTTTGTTTGTTGGTTTGACACCCAAACAATAACATTTAATTACTTCAAACAAAATGATCCATTCATTTAAAAATCAACATATGTCTCATGTCAAAAGATATATAAACACGCTCATTTTTAAAATTCACCATATGACGTTGATCCTTAAAATTTTAGGTGAACGACTCTATAAATAATCATTGATTGTAACCCTAACAGAAAAATGAATGCCAAATTGTATATGCAGTAAATAAATAGAAAGTGTATACCATTGATTAATTAATAAAAACATCTCTCTGTTTTTCATGTGGACATAGCTTGGTTTCTCAAATCAAAGTGAATTTTATTAAATCTCCTTGCGTTATTTGTGAATCTTTTTAGCATCTTTATTATCGCGGTTGTGTGTTTATCGAAGTGCTTGAAGTCCCTCTTGTTATTCCCTAAGAATAGATATTCTAAATACGACATTTACTTTTTATAACTATATTCAAATAATGACTCAATAAATATGATTTTCAAAGTCAACATTACATGCCTATATCCTAAAAAAGGATAAAAAGAGATATAAGATGTATCCACGCTAACAATTTAAATTCAAACCATAAAATGTAAGAAATTCTTAATAATATTGCAAATATAATATGAAATACGGAAAATATGTTTTAGAATTAAAGTTAATTGAAAAACTCTTTGTTACTAATTATTTTAATATGATAAAATTTATAATTTATTTTAATAATATTTCATAAAATATAATGTTACATTTAACAATATACTTAATTTTTTATTTGTATTATTTAATCAAATTTAACTTATTAGATAGTTTTATCAAATAGAAAAATTTAATGACAAATATAATGAAATTTTATTAAACATAACAAATGTCACAATCATAAATAACACCGATCTTAAATAAATATAGAAATATCAAATAATATACTTGTTAGGTTGTTGTCATCACAAAATTTAATTTTTCAGTCGTGGTGAATTTTGCATAACAAAACATTAACCAGAAGAAGTAAAAAAGATAATACATTCACCATCAAAATATCTGGTTCACAGTAGCCGGAGATATTATCAGATTGAATTCGTCCTTTCTAACGTGGCATACATCTGATGATAATGACACGTGTAAAAGCGTCGCCATGTGTGTATACTGTTGTTCCAACGACCGCCTCCCTCCGTCGAACTTTTCCCCTCTCCGCCCCTAAAATCAGTATTACAATTTACAACCGAATCCTCTTCAGAGATTGTGTGAATTTCAAATTACCTTTACAAAATACACGAAAATGGAAGGTAGTCGCCGGCGTAATTCATCATCTCCGTCGATGTTAGCAGATCTAACCGCGACTCATGGCTGCGAGAATGAATTGAGTCCGTCGAACTCCGACTTGACCTCGAACTCGTATTTGACCGTTAATAATTATAAAGGAAGGTTACATCTGATTGAAGATTCAGCGAAGGTAACTTCCGTTCTTCTATATCTATTTCGTCTTGTTTTAATTGATTCACTTTTTATGTCGCTCAAATTGATTGTATCCGTATGACGTTCCGAGCTATAGTAGTTATACGTTATCATCAACGGTGTGATTTACGTTTATGTTCCTTATTTGACTCTGGATTTAAGATTTGTTATTTTTGTTTCCTACACAGACCTAACCAACCGGAGTTGGATTATTTGTTGATTTTGTTAAATAGACATCTTGAATTAATTGGTTGTATGTGGTATTTGATCTGGAAAATATGGTGAATAAGGTGATTTGGTTGATGTGTATCCATGTGTGTAAGAACATGAAGCATTGCTTCTATGTGCTACATGACATTAGTCCTGTACTTTCCACCTCTGAAAGAGCAAAAGCTCATTAGATCTGATAATGGGAAGAAACTGAGAGATTCGCTGATAAATTTGAGATCTTGAGGGACTTTCTGCTTCTTAAACAAGGCTATGATTCTGTAAAGGGTGTGTCTATTGTCTATTGCTTGTGAAAGCAAACCTAATAGTTAGGTAACAAAATGCCCTACTAAGATTCACATTAGCTAAGTGAATCTTACAATAACAAGAAACTACTCCATGACATATATCTTATATCTAAATCTTGTATCTGTTTATATTGTGGGTATTTCATCAGTTGTACTAATGATGTCAAAGAACCACTTTGCTCCTAGAAAATGCAACTGGCATGTTGTCCCCTTGAACTGATCAACTACTCTTATCGCATCTTACCAAACCTAATTGATGTTCAAAAATAGTATACTACCCACTATGCTTTTGGAATAAACTTTATTAACTAGATCACCTACTACTTCTTTCCTTTATCAAAAGACACTCCAAACTTGTCATGTTGTCTCCATGATACATCTTACCCTTTCAAGCTATGTACAAAAATGGCAAATTGCAATATGTAACCTAGAAAGGTAGTGCTGACGTGGCACGGGTTGTTGCCAGTGCCAGGTCATCCATGTCATATCTCTTCTTTTATCGTCTACCATGCATAATATCAATACATATTTATGATTGATGAATTGTTTTATAACAGGATTGTGTGACAACATGGACAGATGAAAAACATGATTTGTATCTTGATCATTTAGAATCATCATTTGTTGAGCAGTTGCATCGGTCTATATGCGTACTTGCTTTTTGCTCAAATGATGACTCAAAGAGTCATTATTTATCTCGAAAGCTGGTTGCTAAAAATAGAAATACTTCAGAAAAGGTGAGTTAGTTAACAACATAAGAAAACTCTACTTCCAATTTTCACTCATTATGTTAATCTGTTACCCCTTCTATCTCTCTCTCTCTCTACAGTTAAAAATAATACAAGATTCCTACTCGGACAAAACTACCCTCAAGAGAAAAAGCCATCACACTTTTACAGGTAAAAAAAACACCGTGTTCTTTTATTTGTATTATTTAATATACTTTTATTTAAAGTAGGATGCTATTTCTAGCATTCATTAAACATCCACATTTTCTTCCAGAATTCTCAGACCAAAACTTTGCAGCTGAAGCTAGTGAGCAGACATGTAGAAGAACAAAGCAGTCAAAGAGTATTTATTCACAAGTTTGAAGGAAAGAGGTAAACTTGATTCTTTTGCAACTATTTTTTCGGTTTATATTAATTAATGAAAAGGGAATAAAGTATAAATTATAAAGGTTATATATGATTTTGTTGTCTTTTTGATCTTTCAGATAGTAGCATTGGGAGATTTCAAATTCAAGATGTGAATACAAAACAACACAGCAATGTATTGGAACTTTCTTGAGGGAATTATAAGGTGAAGATCTTGTTGATGGATGAAACAGGTATATATAGTTATGTTAATCTTGGGAATATTTATTTTGCTATTTTTTAATTGGTGATAGGTGATTCAAATTTTAAAACTTATCTTATAATATGTTATGGGTAATTTATTGGTGATTTTAGTGTCATCAAGCATAGAATGTGATCTTATCTTATGCTAAGCTTAAGTACAAGTTAGGAGGTAGAAAGTATACACTTGTTCTTAAGAACATTCTACTGTTGATGGGTTTCTTTAAAGAAAAGCATGCAACTTCTTCTTAAGATCCAAAAAAAAAAAAAAAATCACGAGATTGTTTTGGATAAATATAAATATTTGTCTAGTGTATAGTGTTTCTATTATTGAGAACCCATGAACGTTGCTTACAAGTTTCTTGGTTTAATTTATTTCCTTGGCTTGAATATTCAATAAGTTTAGATGTTGCTTTTTTGTTTTCCATGTTTTCTTTTTAACAAACCTTTAGAATCGGGATACTATGGCCAACAAGCAGTTAGTATAGATGGATTTCAAATTTTGAAAAAAATTGGTATCGAGGATACATCTTTTCACAAAGTTGTAAAAAGGTCATGTGATAAATTGTTAAATGTGGCACAATATAGCAAATGTGTTTCATAAATTTACAGATGAACAACGTAAGAATAAAAATTTGTGATTGATGGATACTATTTATTCAGTTCATTGGTGCACCTTTCAAGCCGTTTCAATTATACGCCATAATGAAAAAATAAAATAAAATAGATTCCATTGATAAAGGAAATATTCTTGAAGTGTTGGAGGTAATATGTAATTTTAACACAAAGATGAAAGAATTGTTTTGTACTAAGCATGCATCATATGCATCACCTTTAGTTGAAGAATAAATTTTGAACCTTATCCAAAGTAGGGCGACTGCGAGACAAATTATTAGTAAGGAGATTGATGAATGTAAAATTTTGTTTAGTTGTTGATGAAGCACATAATGAGTCTAACAAATAAAAAATATATATTGTTTTGAGATTTGTAAAAATGATGGCATTATTACGGTGTGTTCTTTTAGTTTGTTCATGTAAGACTACAACACACACTTCTAAGAAGGGAATCTATCATGTAAGAAATATGTGAAGTCATTTCGAGGGTGTGCAGACATCGATTTCAAATGATTGTCTATATGTCTATTATGAGTTATTGCATTGTGGGAGATTTTTACTCAATTATCTTTAGTTGTTAATGTTCTGGTGCTTCCTCCAAGTGTAAGGACTAACTAAGACTTGCACAAGTTAAACAAATTTTATATTTTATGTAATGTAGACGATTTGGGCATTACAACGTGTTGGGGATACTAAATTGAGTTCTTACCTTAAATTGGTTTCCATTTTAAGCTATAATTTTAGTCTTACTTCCTATTAGTGAGGTTTCACTTAAATATTAATGATGAGGCCACTAGATCTAGGAAAGGAGATGCGGATTTAACATATGAATAATAGATATCATTAATTTACTTTGTCAGACTTTACAAAGAAAACCTCAAAAATATTTTCAATGCACTAAGGCTGGTTGCATCCACCAAAGTGTTGAGTCATTTCGTTAGGAACGCAACATCGATATCCTTATATGTATTCTTCCTATTTTAGTAAGTGTGATCGAGGTCGTAATAAGTATAAGGATCATGCACTTAAACATCATTAAAGATTATAGATCTTTTATAAAGCAATTTATTGTTAGTTAATAGAGTTAGACCATTTATTCAATGATAGATCGATAAAGTCGTTTCGATCTTTCAACAATTTTAGATCCAAAAAGTGCTAATGAGCCTATGGAAAGTGGTGATTTATTTAGTGTAGAAGTTTTATCCTACATATTTCAATGACTACGAGAAATTACATTTGAGATGCAACTTCAGCATTATGAGGTTGATGTCATTCAACATGCATATTATAAACAATTGACATCTACTTCAAATTTAAAGTTGTGTCAATAATTGATAAAGACCAAAAGAGCTGCGAGTTTCAACCTTAGTTATTGAGTAGCTAGTTTCATACTTACTATCTTAGTTTCTATCCGCTACAATAGATAAATTTTTGAATGGATCATTAGTTTTATACTTCAAAAGGTAACTTGCTGAAAAGATTAGATTGAAGAAAATTCTCCAAGATTTGAAAATTACAAAGGATTAAGGAGTTACACTTTTGATGAACAATGTAGGAATATTTTATATAGTTGTCGTGTTTAGAGCATTGATATTTTATAATTTTGAATAAAACTACACTTGTTTGTATGGCTTTGTTTTAAAATTTTTGTCCCTCCTAATTTTGATGTTTGTGTTCTGCCCTTGGGTATAGCCCATACTTGGGTATAAATATGAAGCAAATTACGATAACAAAATTATTACTTTAGATCTACAAGAATGAAGTTGTACTTGTAGAAAATGGAAATTCAATGGTTTACTTATGGTCACACGATAATGACGATGAAATCCTCATGAAAGTGATACTACCTTAGGTAGAACCCTGGTTCTCCATAGAATGTTATCCATATGCATAATAGGAAACAATTCAACATATTGCTCGTCCATCTGGATGAGAAAATCCCGAAGAAGTGATGATCATTAACCTATTGCACATGGAAAAAAGTGTCTAGTTGGTCAACTTAACCACCATAACCATACACTATCACAAAGAGAAAGTCCATTAAATAAACAATGCAACAGACTCCAAAGAAATAAGCATACTTGCCTTAACTATGCATCTTAAATACCACCAAAGATGTCAATTTTGGGAACATCAAGTACATAGCCATTCATAAATTCAAAAGTATATTCTTATATTTAATTTGAATGAATAAGCCTTTGCAAAGTTATTCACTAATGAGATTGTTTTGACAATAAATGACTTGTATTTATTTATTTAGTCGATACGACCTTACATATAACATAAGTTTCCCAGCATATTCCTTAAACATATATCACTTTATCCAACAATATAGGTATACAATATAACCTACTGAGCGATAGTAACCCACATGAAAGATTAGTCGTCGACACATTTCCACCAGATATGCAATTAAACCGAGCAGTAGATACATATTCATGAATATTTGGAACGAATCATATAAAACTAAATTAAATTTAGAAAAAAAGTAAACTACTACTTTGGAGGCATGTCTATCTCTTGGTTGAATTTGCAAGAAGTAGCTAGTCAATGCATTATATCTCCTTTTATTCCTTACTTCCTCCTCCGACTTAAGATATATAATTCCATTGGAAATCGATTGAACAAGGGGATATCGACTTCCTTTTTCGAGAGAAACTCGTCATCTCATTTCATTTAACAATTCATCATTGTTGCTTAATCAATTCTTTGATAATAAGAATAGTTAGGTTGTTCTATCCCCGATGTGAGGACTTTCTTCTACCTTTCTTATGTGGTATTCGATGGTAATTCCTTTATAACTTCAACTCTTACGCTTTCACACCATAGTGTCATCCTCTCTGATCTTCAATTGATGAACCGTTTTTAAAAGCTTCCTTTTGAGGTCATACCCATCCTAAGTAAAAAAAATAAAGATGCATTGAAGGATATGGAAGTTTCATACCCTTGTTTAGGGATGACCCCGAGCACATGCAAGGTGTGCGACCGCACAAGGCCTATGTCGTGTCGTCAGGGGGCCCAAAATTTTAATCATTCATAGTTCCGGCACTAATCTGTCGCTATGTTAATCCAAAATTTTAGGGTGCTAATTTTAATTTTCGCATAGGGCCTTCAAAATCAACGTTGTGTGTGTTCAACACCATCGGTTGCAAAACATGAACACCTCACAATTCATCACTAATCGAGTGTTCTTCTTATTGGTTTGGTGACGACTCAGTGGCAAACAACTTGCAATTGCTTATGAGCACAACATAACAAAAAAAAACAAAAAAAAACAAAGAAACTAAATACAAGTTTCGAAAAGGTTTGTGAATTTTGAAATTGCTGTAAACTTTTTGAACATGTATAAAAAAATATACCTCTATATAACAAGTTTAACAAGTTAAAAAGTGTAAAATACTGTGAGTTTCGAAATTGTTTATACAAGTTTCAAAAGTATTCCAAGTAATAACATGAGTTTCAAATCTTGTTTTCAGCATAAACACAACTCAAGAACACTAGTATTTTTACACAAAACAAACAATATAATCGTAAAAACTAGATATAATACGATTTTTGAAATTGTTGTTCTAGTTTACAAATTTTGAACTCTCTTTTCAAAGTATATAAACAACCCATGACCATTATATACCATGTTTACCTATTACTAAGCATTATATAACATTTATACACAACATTAACACTAAAAACGTAAATACTAAATTATATTAGCTTTATACACACACACAAAAAAGAATAATAAATAAATAAAATAAAAAAAATCCACTAACATTTAAAAGCTTAAAACTGAATTAGTAGACCAATTAAGACCAATTAAGAGAGAGAGAGAGAGAGAGAGAGAGAGAGAGAGAGAGAGAGAGAGAGAGAGATTATAATAAACAAATAAATTAGTAGACCAATTAAGTGAGCTGGCATAATAAGGGGTAACCAGGTTACCCTTCGTTTTGGCAAAAAAGACTTTTTCGACCCGATAAACCCAACTTTGTTCCTAAAAGCCGCATAAATAACTTAAGGGACTGAATGAACAAATATGCAAAACATCGTAAGGCTACAGTATCATTTTCCCATAGGTAAAACGGAGAAATTAATGTGAAATGGGTAAAATTAAGAAGTTGCATAAGGAGTACAAATGAACTTTTTTTATAAAATGAATAAAACGATAAAAAACTTGAAAACTTAGGGTTTTCTTACAAATATGCATACGTGTAATTTGTAAAGATTGAGAAATTAGTTTTCCTCTCAGGGAACTGATATTTCCACTTGGTTTTTCTCTCCATCTACTTAACAAAAATATAATTTTCCTTTTATGCCCTTTGAAGACTACCCTCATCAAAACTCTCTTCTTGATATTCATCCCTTAAATAGATTTCACCCATTATTCATATTTTGTTCTAGATTTAATTTTGATTTTGTTCTATATTTTAATTTTGATTTTATATCTTTTTGGTTTCCTACGCTAACTCTTAATTGGTTTTATTT